TTTCCATCTCTGGCATGTACGTGTCTGTAATTTTTCAAAGATCAAGAATACTTCTCAAGCCTGTGATGCACATACTGAAGGGTTGGGCAAAATATGGCCCATGGGCCAGATCCAGCCGGCCAAATTATTGCAGCTTCTCCCACAGCACTCCACATGGAGCCAAGGCCAGTGCTGTGCTCCTGCCTGTGCCCACCAGCCCCCGCCCCAACCAGCAAGAACAGCTTCCAGCGCGCCCCACTCCTGGTATGGCTGCAGCTGCCTGGGTCCTGATGGGCTCCCCTTGCTTCCAGTGGAGACTCCTCCCCCTGCTCCTACCCCTGCTGTGCCCATCAGGGTAGGGAGGAAGCTTCAGGCAGATGGCATCTGCCCTACCACAAAGGGCTCTGGGTCCTGCTCCTGGCCATCTTCCAGTCACTCTGCCACCCTCAGATGGCTGCTCATCATGTCGGGCAGGCAGAGTGGGTGCAAGGCAGCTGGAAACTGGAGCCAGAAACCTGCGTGCTGGGGCAGAGCTACCCAGCTGCAGCTTCCTCCCCATTGAGATGGGCACAGCAGAGGCAGGAGCTGCATTAGATGAGAGCAGCTAAGCAGCATCCAGGCAGCTGCAGCTTCGCCAGGAGAAGCCCTGCCAGTAAGCTGTGCATGGTGTCTGCAGCCAGGCTTGTGGGTGTGGGCAGGAGAATGGCATAAGCTTCCTCAGGTGGGACTTTGCTGTATGTGCCACCTGCCTCCCATCTCCCACCCCCATCCCTCCCCTAACCCCCAGACAGTAGAGCTGTGTGAAATTTCACCGGCTGTTTCTATTCGACACTGTTTCAACTCATTTCGAGCTTGAAACAGTTAAATCAAATCAAAACAAAGGACTTCAAAACAGCCTTGAAACAAAACAAGGCTAGTTGAAATGTTTTGAAACTTTTGAGTTTCAAAGCAGCCTGCAGCCGGTGGGAGACAGGGGAGAACCAGGGCTGAGCTCCCAGCGGTTCCACAGCACCATGCGGCTCAGCCGGGAACTCAGCCCTGGCTCTCCCTGCCTCCCACTGCTGGGCTGCGGGAAGCCGATCACAGCGCAGGGGAAGGGAACTGAGCCTGATTGCTCAGTTCCTCTCCCCAGCCCTAGGATTGGGCTGGGGAAAGGAACTCAGCCCAACTGGGCTGAGTTTCTTTCCTCAGCCTGATTGTAGTGCTGGGGAGGGGAACTGAGCTGGGGTCAGTTCCCTTCCCAACTCCCTGGTCCCAGGCAGCAGCACCCGGCTTCCCTCCCTCATCTGGCAGGCAGATTGGGGGCCCGCAGCCCTTGGAGGACTGGCACAGCCCCCACAGCCCTCCCAGGGTTGCGGGCCCCATCTGCCTGCCAGATGTTTCGAGCTTCCCCATTATAGCGTATGGGTGAAACAAAATAGAACAGCAATTTCGAATCAAGATGAAATTTGAAATGCTCTTCCGTCGAAACCTCGAAACTCAAGTCGAAATGGAACGGGGCCGTTTTGCACAGCCCTACCAGACAGGTCCTAGGACAGAGGTGGGCAATTATTTCAGGCAGAGGGCCGCTTACTGAGTTTTGGCAAGCTGTCGAGGGCTGCATGGGTAGCCCCGCCCCTTGACAGGTGCCCCGCCCCCTGGTTGCCATCTTGGGATTGGAAGTCCCACCCCTAACCTCCGACCTTTGCCACTGAAAATCCATCCCCTTGCCCCTGGAAATATTCCTTTTGGGAAGAGGGTTTGCCATCTTAGGGCAATAAAAACAAATTACAGACTAACAATCAAACACCCATTATAATATATTTTAATTTTTAAAAATATTTTAAATGTCCTGATTTGTGTGTGTTTGTGGTGTATATGAAGTGATTGCATATGGGGGTTTGTGGGGATGTGTGGATGCATGTGTGTGGGTATGGGAGCCATGCAGTGCAGAGTGGGCAGCAGACAGGCAGCAAAGTGGGGAAGTGGTGGTGGGGGGGATTGGAAGCAAGCAAGAGTGCGGGACCTGCACCAATGTCCTGGGGCCAGTGCTGGTGGTGCCCAGAGCGGAGCGGTAGGAGCGCGAGGCGTGGGCTGGCAAGCATCTGTGGAGCCGAGCTGGGCTGCACCAGCAGGCCCCAGCTGGCAGCGAGGGGAGGGGAGGAGAAGGGAGGAGAGGGGAGCTGCTTACCCCCGCAGGGCCCAGGGGAGCGGCCCTGCGTGGGAGGCCAAGCAGCAGCCGCTGGCACTGCCGGCCCGCGCCTGCCTCCC